TACTGAAGGGGGTAGCCATTTCCTTCTCCAGGGGATCTTTCCGACCCAGGGATCGAACCCAGGTCTCTCACATTGTAGGCAGATGCTTTACTGTCTGAGCCACTTCAGAAGTCCCTACACAAGGTAAGCCCTCAGTAAATATTTATATGAATAACTGAATTAAAAAATTGGTTAGCATATCCTTCTTTTTCTCAGGTAGCAGCGAGCTTACTGCATCATGATAAATTCCATTTTTGAAGCAGCACCTTCCATAAAAACTACTGAAGGAATAACCCAGTCTCTGAGGCCACTTAAGCACAAAAGCACAGGGATGAATCTGAGGGCAGTCAGAATTCTGCCAGCCACGAGGGAAGAGCAAGTCAACAAAGGGAAGCTGCTACTTCAGACACAACAGTTCTCAAAAGCACCTGTATCCTCCGTTCTAAAGAGAATGTCTTAAACATTTTAAACAGTATTTTGGACTAGTTTCATGACAGTATCTAGCTTACATGACTGTAAATATTTCCAGAACACAATAAACCCCACTTCTGTGCCAAGATGCTTCATGCACTGTGTCACTTTAGATGGTAATTATATTGCATTAGCGAGATAGATTGTGCAGCTTCAAAAGTAGAATGCATATAAGGTTAAATCTGTCATCCACCCCCACAGCACATAGCCTCTACAGAGGAGAATTCTATTGTTTCTGGGACCATCTTAATTTCACATTTATTCTTATTTTCTTTTTGAAAAAGTTGCCTATTTTAAATATTTTAGTACAGGACAATTCCCAGGGAGCAAGTGCTTGTTTTAGTGATGGAAATTTCTTGCTTCTCCCACTTTTTATCCACTATTTCATGGAGAGTGTTCAAGCACAGAATCTCCCTATTTGTACCTTTTCACCTTCTTGATAAAAAGCAAATCTTAATCACCTTGTCATATTCTTATTAAATATTCAAATCATTCAAACTTTCTGAGTCTCAAGATAATTGTGTCTACCTTACAGAGATTTCTTTCACTCTGAGAATGAAGGACCAAAAATTATCTGTACACAACAAAAGCACTGAGCAAACTGTCAATATAAGGTTTGTGGAATATGAAATTTTGATGGTTATTCATCTTGTTGTTCACCTTGTATTATAACCTTATACAGTGGCTGAATTATGGTCACATTCAGTACATAGATTAAAGAAAGAGAAAGGAAGGGAGGATGATGATGGGATAGAAGGAGAAAATGAAGAAAAGGGAGGGAGAAGAGAGAGGGACCAGGAGAGAAAAAAGAAAGGAAAGAAGGGAGGGACACAGAGAGGGAGGGGAAAATAAGGGAAACTGGGGAGAGAGAAATGAAGGGAGAAAGGGGGGGATGAAAGTAGGAATGGGAGAAAAAAACAGAAGGAAAAGTCATGACTGTTATGAGACTGGCTGACTAATTTTGACTCTGACACGTGTGTGATAACAACTGACCACTGCTATAACTGCTCCCCTCCCAGACAACATAAATAAATAACGAAACAACAGTGGCTCATCTTACATGATATTTAGAGATAGCAGTCTTAGGCTAGGGAGATGGAAGTAGTGATATTTGCTATATTATGAATATTAGTACTCATATTATTGCCTTTGAGGACGAAAGAAAAGGACACGGTGGCACTCTCAAATGTTGTAGCTAAACTGAAACCCTAGAAAATGAGATACATTCATCAAGAGGATTGTCCCTTTTTCTATTTTCCAGGGTATAGAGGAAACAAGGTATTTTAAAAATCTTTCTTAGATTCTGATACTTGAGTTAGAAATAATCTATTTTATTTCTCTTTTTCTCAAAATAAGTATAATCTCATTTATTTCGCTCTTAACTCATTAGTAGGGGCATCATAAGCATCATAAGCAAAGAGAATATAAGATATTTGAATTTTGCTCCAATACATAAAAATCAATTAATTCTGTGTGTGTGTTTATGTGCATGAGGTTTGTGACAGTGGCGGCTTTTCGGCAGCCTAGAGCCATAAGTTTTTAAAAGACACCAATAATGTTTCTCATGCAAACCAACAATTCTGGTGTTGTAACAGGAAAGAGACCACTTGGTGCCATAGATACACTTGATGATAGCACTAATAATCACTGCTACCATGCTTTGAGGAAATCACTGCACAGCTGCCATCTCCTTTAATTCTCCTGGTGACGCTGTGAAGTTAGCTTCTGCATCACAGTTTTGCAGTTGAGGAATCACAACCCCAGAGGAAATAGCAAACTTTTGCAAAGACTGTGGCTGGCACCTCTTATCATGTCCACCTCTCCAGGTCAGAGAGTGACTGAAGATCAGAGAGATGCAAAAGCAATAAAACAAAACATCTCAAGGCCTTCTTTCATCCCTAAAAGCTAAGGATACATATACACACACTTTCATCCTAAATGAGATGCCTGGCATTGCTGTAAATTCTTTAGTAATGTATTTTAATTAATCCTCTGACACTGACTTATTTGATTGATGGGGAAAGGTAAGTTTGGCAGGTTTAACTGCCCAGTCTCCTGGCAAGTGTCAGAATATGTATTTGAGTTCAAAATACACATGCCTTACACACCAAAGAAACCAGATCTGAAAGAGACACATGCACCCTAATGTTCATCGCAGCACTGTTTATAATAACCAGGACAGGGAAGCAACCTAGATGCCCATCAGCAGACAAATGGATAAGGAAGCTGTGGTACATAAACACTATGGAATATTACTCAGCCATTAAAAAGAGTTCATTTGAATCAGTTCTAATGAGATGGATGAAACTGGAGCCCATTATACAAAGTGAAGTAAGCCAGAAAGATAAAGACCAATATGGCATACTAATGTATATATATGGAATTTAGAAAGATGGTAACGATAACCCTATATGCAACACTGAAAAAGAGACACAGATGTATAGAACAGACCTTTGGACTCTGTGGGAGATGGCAAGGGTGGGATGTTTTGAGAGAACAGCATCAAAAAATGTATATTATCAAGGGTGAAACAGCACCAGCCCAGGTTGGATGCATGAGACAAGTGCTTGGGCCTGGTGCTTTGGGAGGACCCAGAGGGATGGGGTGGGGAGGGAGGTGGGAGGGGGGATTGGGATCAGGAATACATGTAAATCCATGGCTGATTCATGGCAATGTATGGCAAAAACCACTACAATATTATAAAGTAATTAGCCTCCAACTAATAAAAATAAATGGAAAAAATAAAATAAAAAGCAAAGATAAAAAAACAAAAAACAAAATGCACATGCCTGTTCCCCTTTTCCTTATCAACATTGACCTTCATTGCTCCACAAACACTTGCAGAGCACCTGCTGGGTGAAAACAGTTTTGCAAGTGCAGGACACTTAAAGACATACAAAGATAAATAAGACACAGCCTTGAACTCAAAAAGCAAACTCCAATCACTTAAAAAAGCTAGAGTAACATTTATGAGGAAACATGAGGTGGTTTGCAAAATCGTCTTCTGAAGTCATAAATTGTAACATTAACTGGTGGGCCTTTTCCTGTTGGGCACATCTCTCACAGAAAGTGAGCCTTGACAGCACAGTACTGGGAGAGGAGCTTATTAACATGATGTATCCACGGCCAAGGGGCATTCCCCATACTCTTATCAGGCAACAGATTTTTGAGGTGAGGGCAAGCCTTTCCTCCATCTTGGAGGGGAAAAAGATTTTACCCATATGCTCTCAGATAATGCTTATCATAGCTCAATAGGTGGGAAATTTATTCCCCTTTACCACTGAGGCAACAAAGATTTATAAACGTCAACGGACCACCTTGGGTTAAATAGGTCCTAAGGGGTCCAGATAGGGTTCAAACCAATGTCTACCTTACTCCAAGGAACTATTTCCGCTGCACTATTGTATACAAATGGATCTGTACATGTGCATGCATGCATATGTGTATGTACACGTGTACATACGTATACGTGTGCATATATGACAAACAAACATTTCCTGTTGATCCTAAGACTAAAAATGTTTTCAAACTTTATTGAGGTGCAGCTGACAGAGTTATGTTATTTAAAGTGTATAATGTGACGATCTAATATATAGGTACATCCTGAAAGAATTTCCCCATTGAGTTAATTAACACATCCATCACCTCGCATATTTATTTATTTATTTATTTTGGCGAGGAAATTTAAGTTCTACTCTTTCACCAATTTTCAATTACCTGATTAACAGTGTTATCAACTATACTAAGGTTTTACATTTGTCTTTCTTGTCTCCCGGTGGTCTCCTCAGGATCTTATTTTTAACCTGTGGTTATAGAAAGTGTGTAGGAAAGAAGGGCCAAATGTTTTATAACGACCTATGAATCAGCACTGTGGGATACTTCAGAGCTCACCCACTTGTTTTTCCTTTTTTTCCCCTCTGCCAAAGCAAGATACAAGGGCCCTGGCTGCACCACATGGCTAAAACTGAGCTACAGAAGAAAATGTTCCTTCTTGCCCTCTTCTCCCACTCACCAGCCGCCTCTCACCCTCCCCACTAGCCCTCTCAGCCACCGAAGCCCCGCTCCCCCGCCCCTGTGACCGGCCCTGAGCCCCACGCCATCTTCCCTTCCCCTGCGTCCTCCGCCCCGCGCCACCTACCGTTATACCCACCAGGTTGTTGTGGAAGTCCATGTGGGTTCGCAGAGCCGGGCTCCATGGCCATCTCAAGAACTCTCTGATGAACCTGCTGCCACATTTGAGACTGTCCCTACAGCTGCCCCACCGTCAGGCCCCCTGGGTTTTTCCAGGTCAGGCCCTCCTGACAACGCCAGCTTTCTCTGAGGCCTGCGCTGCACGCCTTGGCCAGTACGTGCATTAAGCAGGCCGGGGAGACGGTGGAGTGGAAAGGTTTTTTTGGAAGTCTCATTTGGGGAGGCTCGCCCGGGGGCGACCCTCATCAGCGCAGTACCACCAAAGGAACCGGAATGGGTACCAGACTCCAGCAAGCTCACGTGGACCGTGCCTGTGAACCTCCCCCACTCCCGGCAGCACCCGCGCCACAGACGCCAGCATGCTCACGTGGACCGCATCTCCGCCACTCCCAGCAGCCCCCGCGCCACCGCGTCCTCTCCCGCTTCAGCCAATCACAAGCTTCGTAGTGCCCCTGGGCCGCAGCCTGCACACCAGGGTCCGCAGCAGGGTAGTCGCTACCTGTGGTCTGGGAGGCGCGGCCCAGCCAACGTGGGTGTCAGCGCCAAGTCCGTTTGTCAGCGAGCCCATTCAGCAACTTGCAGCAGCTGCCAGTCCACTCCTGGCCCGGAGTCACAGCTCAGGGGAGGAAAATTGAAGCTTTCCACTTCCTTAGCAAGCCTGTGCACCTAGGGTGGTGGAGAGGAATGAGCTGAGGGGACTGTGCCAAGGCTGTGGGGACCGTGAAGTCCTGAAGGCAGGAAAACCCAGAGGGCCTGCTCTTGCTGGCGGTTCATCTCTCCCGCTGGCAACCCTTGTAAACCAGAACACAGAAGACGGGAATGTAACTCCTGCACCATACGTGGCTCTGCTGTATCCTTCTCGATGCACTATTGGGTTCAGATTGGTACCTCTCAAGTGGTAAAGTCCTAAGTGTTTAGTTTTCATAGGTTTAATTAAAATGCCAACTCATTCCCAAAGTGTCTCTAATTACCCTCGCCTCAGTGTTAACATCAGGAACTTATTTTTTTATACAAATACTTATTAAGCAGCCACCATGCACTAGATACTAGATGTATTTGTTCATTCCTCCCTGTTTCCGTTTTGTGATGTTCGTCCCTGTTATTTTTCTCAGTATCTGTGTTATGAACTGACAAAGAGACTCTTATCTGGCCAGCTTTTAGAGCAGTCTAGGCATTGAATAATTGTACAGTAAATATTTTTGTTTACAAAAACATCCAGAGAAGGCACCAAGCAGAAAAGATCTTGGCTAGTTACAGGGCAAAGGGAACCAGAGGCGGAGTTGAGTAGTCTACGAGTCCCTCAGGGTAGTCCTACATCCCATGAGGGAACCAATGGGTAAATGTCACTGGAAGCAGATAACGGTATTAAGGAAGGTCATAGTTCTTCCTATTAAGTTATCCAGTTGTGGGATTGGCTGTCTCTATAAGTAATCCACTTTCTATCACTAGTGTTGAAGCAGTTTAATGCATTCATCTGTCTGGAGTGACCTGAAAGGACTTTCCACATTTATTTGACATGTACTTCATGTACTTTTATTTGACATGTACTTCATGTGCTTCAGTCCACCCTAAAGGAGATCAGTCCTGGGTGTTCACTGGAAGGACTGATGCTGAAGCTGAAACTCCAATACTTTGGCCACCTCATGCGAAGAGTTGATTCTTTGGAGAAGACCCTGATGCTGGGAGGGATTGGGGGCAGGAGGAGAGGGTGATGACAGAGGATGAGATAGCTGGTTGGCATCACTGACTCGGTGGACATGGTTTTGAGCAAACTCTGGGAGTTGGTGATGGACAGGGAGGTCTGGCATGCTGCGATTCATGGGGTCGCAAAGAGTCGGACACGACGGAGCAACTAAACTGAACTGACTATCTCTTTTAATATCGATATTTGCCATCCTGTGAACAGGACAATTTTATGGACAGAATAGTAATTGTGTTAGGCCTTATAAGAAGCGGAAGAGAAGAGTTCATGTCAGAATGCCTCACACTTCTCCTATTGAGACCCTACTCATATATGCTTAACACGGCACAGAGATGGAGCCACTTTATTGAGCTATGACCTACACTTGGCTTTTAATACAGAGTTCTCTGTCCATGGATATTAGTAGACAGATACAAACAATGAGAGAATCTCCACTAGCCCCTTTTGCTGTCATGATGCCCACCTCGTGTTTCCATCCTCAGGTCCCTCTCAGCCTAATTTCTCTCCTGCCTGTTTCAAAAGTCTCAAACCAATATTCCTGATTGAAATTTCAAAAAAGTTATTGCATCCCCTAACATTTAAAAAAAAAATCACAAAATGTCACTAGATTATTATCAGTTAAAATGTAGTGGGACTGTGCTGGCCTTGAAGTGAAGAAATCATGACTAGTGCCAGCTCAGTTCACAGCCAGCTGTGTGACCTCAGAAAGTCAGCTAACCTTTCTGACCTTCATCTGTGAAATCAGAAGACTAATTAACCCAAACCATCTCGGAAGAATTGTCCAACTTTAATTCTAAATAAATAAAATCCTATTATTTTTCCTGCATCCTCAGTCCTGAGAGAATCAATTCCTAGACAGATTGATATCAAGTTCAGGGTCCCCAAGGAGAAGAAAGGGGTCTAGGTCTCCCTAAGTGGAGACTGGGGCTCTGGAATTCTCAAGGAGGAGAAAAGGACAAACGTTTTTTTCCTCTGCATTCCTTAGTCAGTTACACAACTCAGTTTAAACTCTGTACTAGGGATTATACAGCAATGTATCTGGCTGGAGGACAGTTTCTCCTTCCTGAAAACCTTCTGACTAATCCTGATATTTTAGAATGTATATTTTGGGAGTGGGCCTGGAGGACTTTTCTATTGTTAAATTCTAATCTTGTTATCCTAAAATGTAAATTGTGGGAGTAGGTCTGGTAAACTTTTAACAAATTTGAGACATTCTTTTGATTCATTGTAATAATTAATTGGAGTGTATATAACTCCACTGCTAACACTAGCAAGGGGATACTCTTTCTGCCCCCTTCTGATATCTCTGTCAGAAGCTTTCTGTATCCCTTTTATACTTCAATAAAACGCTATTGCACAAAAGCTCTGAGTGACGAAGCCTTGTCTCTGGCCCCGGATTGAATTCTTCTCCTCCAGAGGCCAAGAATCCCGGCATCTTTTCGTGGGACAGTAACAACCTTTTAGTTCCAAAGAATAGCAAGTTTAGCCCCTGAAATCATGTAGTGAAACCCAAGTACATGAGACAGTTGCTAAGTTATTGTAGATCAGTCTAAATGAGAATTAGGAGAAGCAGACTGATCTGGCAGGCGACAGCCTCAGCTGGTGCCACTGAAGAGTGGGGCTTTTTTACATGGTGATGAACAAAGGGTGGGCTTCCTCAGGGGCCTGGCCAGCCAGTCTATAACAAAGCAGTCATCCATCAATGCCCGGGCTGTTCCCACTGATGAGCTGCAACTCTTAACAAGCAGGCTGCATTTACACAGCTTCATCTGTTTCCCCTGGGAGCCTTTCCTGGCCTACTTGAATCAATTCTAGAATACCAACAGTGGTATCATCAGTAGAGGAGGTGGTTCCCGCAGTGCTGAGAGTTTGCTCAGAAGAAATGAGATGAATAATATGATGACATGTGCACGTCCATCTGAATGATAAAGTACAGACAGATCTCGGCTATACTGGCCCAACTATTATCCTGCGTATTTTCTATCTATCCAAGGAGACTTATAAAGAACAACTACAGGTGGTTATTACTCAGAAAGAGACTTCCCCCTAAAAATGCAATTTGGATGTGAATAGACAATATACTTAATATTCTCAACTCCCTATCTCTAGACTGAGCAAGTGGGAATTATGTGGACTATATCTTTACATACCAGCACCTAGAAGAGAGCACTCACAGAGCTGGTCTTCTAATATAGGCTTGAGAAATGTAAGTTGAGAATCACTTTTGTTTTGAGGTTGTCAGACTATAAATAATTTTTTTCTTTTCAAAAGTACCATAATATTGTATTTTAGTTTTTAATCTGAAAGTGAGCTGCTTACCTGTCTTTTTCCACTGGAGTTCTCTAAATGGAATTGCTTCCTTTGCCTAAATAGCTAATTTATTTGCTCATCTCTTAATAGTATTGCTCACGTGGTACATACAACACTGCACCCAATGTTAGAAGCCTTCCCAGTTTTCCAGGGGTAGTCAGTCTCTTCCTTAGTTTCTAATAGTTCCTGGTTCATAAATCTATGAATGATCTCATCAATCCTTTACTTGCTGTTGCTCTTGTGTTGTGGTGCCTATCCTTGGGCAAGCTATTTAACTTTTCTGTGCTTTTTTGAGCTGCAATATGAGGGTTATAAGAGGAAGTATCATAGTTTTGTAATGGGGTTTAAATGAGTTAATACTTGTGATATACTCAAGTTATACCTGGCAAATAAGTTTTCTATAAGTTTTAATTAGTGGTAGTGGTAGCATTTTTTATTTTAAATGTTATACTTTTAGTAAAGTCATTTTGATAAAAACTAGTTTGCCTAAAAAGGAAATGGTAACCCACTCCAGTATTCTTGCTTGGAGAATCCTCTGGACAGAGGATCCTGGAGGGCTGCTGTCCATAGGGTTGCAGAGAGTCAGACACCATTGAAGCAACTTAGCATGCATGCATGCATACAGAGTATCTCTATACCTTCCCCTCAATTTTGCTATGAACCTAAAATTGCTCCAAAAATTGTATTAACTTTTAAAAATTATTTAAATCAATTCTTTTCAAGACTGCTTCCTCGGTGGCTCAGAGGTAAAGAGCCTGCCTGCAATTGCAGGAGACATGGGAAATGAAGGTTAGATCCCTGAGTTGGGAAGATCTCCTGGAGAAGGAAATGGCACCCACTCCAGTATTCTTGCCTGGAGAATCTCATGGACAGAGTAGCCTGGCAGGCTACAGTCCGTAGTCCCAAAGAGCTGGACACGCCTGAGCACACATGCAGTCTGCAGTGTACAACTGAAGGCTAGTTTCTATGAAATGAAAGCTATTGTAGAGGGTCACTTCACCTGATCAAATAAGGTACAGGTTTGAAAGTTCTTTTGAATCCTGTCTCCCCAGTGATACAGAATTCTTTTAACTTGAGGACATTAAGTGTATTTAAATATAATTAAATCTAATACAAATTAACATATTTTAAATAAACACTTAAAGTAAATGTCATCAAGACAAACTGCCTAAAATTCTTTTAAGTGAGCAGAAAAATAAAAATAAAACACACCAGAATATAAAACACTTCTCCAGTTCATTAAGACACTATCAATGTTAGAAACTTAGAAGTGAGGAAAAGGTGTTTAGATAAATTTGCTTTAAAATTTTTTCAGAAAATAGGACCATAGTTGGAAAAACACTCAATTTATTAATATGAAAATAAAAAGAGAATAACAAAAAAAAAATCCCTCATTTCTTTGCTACATTTGAATGCTGTAAGATAGAGTAAAAGCTCCTCATCCCTACTTATCCAATTCTTCCTGCAGAGGTAACCACTTTTAATAGTGTGATAGGCTTTTTTCCAATTTTTTTCTTCACTGGTACAAAAATGTACTTAGTAAGTTGATTGAAAATATAATGCCATACACTATATTGTAACCTGTTTTAGCAATACAACCTGGGCATATTTTTATATGCGTAA